ATTTGATGGGTTTCAGGGAGTGCACTGTCCATAGCAGTGTATTCGGCCAGGCCTTGTAACAAAGGCTGGGCCGAACCCATGTGGCTGATGTGTAGATCAATGTTTGGGTCCCATGCCATACAAGGAAGCCCAACTGGGCAGCAGTTTGGAAGGCTAAGTGAGCACACAACCTTAATGGGCCTAAAATCCATTTCGAACTGGGTTGATTTCATCAGTTTAAATGAGGGGCGGATCTGGGATTAAATCAGTTGATAGGATTGGGCCTTGACCCTATCCACTCAGAGAGTCCAAGATCTAAATCTTATTTAGATCTAGGAGCCTCCTAATAGGATTAGGAAAGGGTTGATCTAATCTACAAATAAGATAAGGGTTTTCCCTTATCACTTAAAGGGACTTCTATTCCAAATATGATTTGGATCAGCAATTCCTAATGGGATTAGAAGCTGATCCCTTTAAGCCTATAAAAGGAGGAGGGGGCGGTAGCCTTTGGACACACAACACAAGAGAGAAAAGGTCTCTAGCCTTCAGAGCTGAAATCACAGAAGAAAGATTTCTACAATCTCTGCAAAACTCTTTCTTGCCGCCTCCTTCCTGCTGCCGCCAGACCTCTAGTTCGATCTCCAATTTGTGAGAGAGATTAAGATTCGATCTTGATATCAGCCCTTTGTGAAAGGACTGGTTGGAAGCAATGCTCATGTGCCATCCAGCTATTCTTACGAAGGATCAGGTTCTTTGAGAACGCTGCTGATTCTGCTCCATCCTGTACTGCGCCATATTCAGTGGGAGCAGTCTTTGGATCATTCCTTGGGCGTGAATACCTCCATTGAGAGATAATATTTCTCTCTATCAGGTATACCTCTCTCCTACTTTTTTTGGTTCAGATCTGGTTCAAGATTGGTCCTTGAAAATATGATTTTTTAAATAGGGAATGCGATTCTCCAGTTGAAGGGAGAGAAAAATTTTTTGAAATTCGCCCCCTTCATTCCGCATTCTTTGGGCGTCCATATGATGGATCTTTCATCCCTTCAATGGAGAACTCAAAGAACTCTTTACGATACTCAAGAGAGGGATACAATGCCTGATTGCTTGCTTGCTTCTTCTTCTCTGCCTTTTCAAATGAGGGAGGGGGTCCCCTTTTATAGACACTTCCACCTCCTTACAGGATTTCTCTAGAACATGATTGTTCTAAATTTTCTTTTAGACTTCTCCTACTTCTAGACTTATCCTAGTTCCCTTATGTACATGAATACTTTAGAAATGCTCTAAAAGAATGTAGAAGTATATAAGGCTTAAGGGCATTCATGAGGCTTCTAGAATGCTTCCGGAGACTCCTTGAACTCTCTTGAAATGTCTTGGGGCTTCTGAAAGCTTCTAGAGTGTTCCTATAGGGTTGAATCAATCTCGCCACCTCGTGACATCAAGCTCTAGTTGAGATGGAATCTCCTGAAAGCAAAAATTCTGCAAAGGCTTTGAAAGCAAGAGCGAGCAGCATCCATGAATTTAACATATATGTATGAGAGATATTCCGGCATTCATCTAGATACCATGCTTTCAGGAGATGTGGGCTCGCTATAATTATGTTCTTGTACATGCTCCAGCCTATTTAAATACTATCAGAGTGACTAATATGGTTTGAGTGCTTGTAAAATCTATGTTTAAAGTAGCTTTGATCATCAATAATATAACGCTTTCTAGTGTCCTCTTTGTTGGACAATAAAAACCTAATTCAGGGACCTCACCTAACAGCTTAAGCTTTTAAGTTGAATGGTTCTTTGAGATGAGATCTCAAAGCCTATTTGACCAAGCACTCTAGTGTTCAATCCTGGACGCCCTATTATAAACTGCACTCTCTATTTTAATTGCCTGGTATGAAACCTAGGTCCTGAAATGCCTTCCATTTCAAAAAGCTAAGTCCAGATAAGCTGAAAGTGATGGATGTACTTGTTAGGGGCTGTGTAATCAATGATAATGCCCCATCGCCACTCAATGCCCGTTTGGGAGGGCGTTCACGCTGTGACTTCTGGCTTTGCAAGACAGCCCTAGATGAAAAACTTAGAAGTTGTTTTTGATGAAAAACCCGGAAAAGTCTAAATATGGTTTCATTGAGCTTGCAAATCAACTATGCAATGATGCCAATTCTAATAGCTTCTTCAACGCAGCTCAGTCAATATAGCTCAATTATCACTGAAGCCCTCCCAAATGAAATCGGATTTGGTGCTCACACTGTTCTCGCAGCCCTTCTTCAGCTATGCATCCGGAAGAATATTTCCCATGAATAAAAAGATACAAGCTTGAAGATATTCCCAATATGCATGGCTGAAAAGGGCTGTGAAAACAGTGTGAGCACAATTTTAATTACAAGAACTGAATCCCCCTTCCTTCCCAACGGATTCTCCCTCTCTTGCTTTTGTAATTAATTTAACACATCACATCAATTGATTTTTTATTTCAAAGGGTGGCATGTTCATAATTCACCATTGGGTTGCTGAATTGTTTGTGACCACTATGTTTTCTCTTTTATATTATTGGTCCCACAGCCAATAAAACAGCTATCAGTTTTTAGCTATTCTCAAATTAATGTAAACACCAGATTGGGGATATATAGTGGGATACTGCAAAGTTTACAGGATTAATTAAGGTTAGGGGTGTTAATTGGACTGGGTCCAATCCGATCCAGTCCAATGTGAGCCCATTATAAATGGACCAGGTCCAACCAGGTCCAATCCAATCCAATGAATGTTTTGGACCAGTTTGGACTGGTCCAATTCAATGTCTAGACAGTCCAATCTGTTCAAATTTATTTTGATTTAGATTGGCTTCAATCCAAACCTGATTCATTTTATTTTGATTTAGATTGGCTTTAACCCAAACCTGATCCATTGACACATGTATTCTTATCTTATATCAATGACCAGATATTAACTTAATCCAACCCAATCCAATATAAATTTGTTACAGACGGACCATGTCTAATCCAATCTAATAAATATTTTGGACAAATTAGTCCAATCTAATATGTTTTGTTGATCCATCCAATCCATTCAAATTGATTTTGGACTGGATGGGGTCCAACCCAAAACCGGTCCATTGACACCCTTAAGCTCACCGCAGCTCAGAAGTACTTCATTCTGTGCACCATACCCTTTCCGTGTAGAACCTGACCCAACACCTAAAATTGAGCTATCTTGTCTGCCACGCGTGTGTTATATTGAGGTGGGGTAGCAAATCTTACAACCACTACCTGGTTGGAAGGATAACATTATCCAATTAATATATTATACATACTTTTACATATACAAAATATCTGCAAAACTTCCCAACTTTTGTCCTATCACTTTTGTTTGATAGAATTTTGACCCCTTATTTTTAATTACTTCTTTTATCTTCATTAGTTAGACTAACTTCAGATCAATCTATTATTAAATCTTTGTATTACATATACGCTTTTTGAAGGTTGCCTTTTGGATAAGTTTCAGAATTTATGTTTCTAAATCTCAATGCATAAATCCTCAATTTTAGGCTTTGTGCATTGGAACTTAAAATAGATTTTGACTTCAGATTTATAATTTTTTAAAGCAATCCTTATCGAATGCTCAAACAACTTTTTTATCCCCAAACCTCCAAACTAAAAGCTTATCCAAATAGAACCTAATTAATTACTAGTTCTGGAATGAGTTTATTTAGGCCATGTTTGGTTTGCTGCTCTAGGTGTTACTCTTTTAATTCTTGGTTAGGATGAGTAAGAATAGGCAAAAATGAATAATATTAGAACATTTTGTTATAAAATTCTTGCCATAGATGCTATTTTTTTCCGAATGAAAAATCAGCCCATGACATAAAAATTGAGGTAACTTGCAACATGAAAAATAATCATATGTCCCATCTTACTCATTTTCATTCTTTAAAGAAACTCTATACCAGCAGTTATAAACTTCTGGCATAGGTCTACAAAACCACCACCATAAATGTTTATTGGCAGACTGCTGTGGAAACTTATGCCAACGGGCATTGACCGCTAGCCATCCACCGGTAGACATCTATGTTGACAATTTTGAAGACCTAAGCCGACGGTTTATAACCGCTAACACAATCTTTTTTCTAAGAATGAAAATGAGCAAAGTAGCACACTTACTAATTTGAAAAGAATTCATTTTTAGGAAAAAAAAGTGTTTGGTTTATAGCAATATTTTCTCATTCTTGTCAGAATTTCATCTTGAGTAAGAAATAAGAAAGTGAAAGAATGAGAGTTGAACCAAACATGGCCTTAATTTCAAAGAATTCCAAACAAATCACATGCATGCATACTTTCCAGATGACCCTCTTCTTCTCTAAGGGGAACAAGAGTAGTGGCTTCTTGTACATGAATTATGACCCATTAAACATAAGGGCCTTCTTGGTTCACGGGAATAGAGGTCTGGAATCAGAATCAGAATGATCCATTCTGATCTCAATTGTTTTGTTGGGCAAAATCAGAATCCCATTCCCATTTTTGGTGGAATGGCATTTCCCCATTTGAGGGAATTGGCCATTCCTTCCCCTCCTTGGAAATGAAATCTCATTCCAGTAACCAATTCCAATTCTCATTCAGATTCCTATATGAACCAAACAGACTATAGGAATAGGTAATTCCATTTCTAATTTTGAAGGATTTTGATTCCAATGCAAACGAACCCTTTGATTATTAGATATACTCCTCATGACCAATTAGCTTTAGCACCAACCAAGCATCTCCACTCATCTCTAATTTCTCTGTTCATCAATACTAGCAAAGAAGTTGCTTATGTAGTTATGTCAACTCACATCACAGTAAAAGTAATGCCTACTGGAATAAGGAAATGTTTGATAGCATCTTAATGCTGAAAAGAAAGATCAATAAATTGTAATCAGGTGGGACATCATGGTTAATGTAATATAATTCAGTCACTGGTGGGACATGACTGACTGATGTGCTCTCAACAAGTGGTTTTACACGTGGCTTTCGTACAGACAGGATGCGGGGAGATCGACCAAGAGAGCAATAATCATGAACGACCACCACACTAACACTACAGAGGTATATTTCCCTAAGGATTTGGTCTCCACATTATTATCCACTCTTCCCCATGTACTAATCCATAATGTTACAACATATACATGATTCTTTTCTAAGTTTATATAGATCATATTATAATTAGAGTCCGTTTGGTTTGTAGTTAGAATCAGAATTTACATTTATTGAAATTGGAACTGAATTGGTCTCTGACTCTACTCCCATAGCTTGTTTGGTTTATTGGAGAATCTGAATTGAAATTAATTGGAATGAGCTCTCATTCCCAAGAATGGAGGAGGAAATAACCATTTCTTCAAATGGGAGAATGTCATTCCCCCAAGAATGGAAATGGGATCGATTTTCAGTGTATGGAATGGGTCATTCTGATTCCAATTCCAGATCCCTATTCCTACAAACCACATGATTGCAATGAGTTAATTCTTTAACAGTTATGTTAGTTGAGAATTTTTCATGAAATCCAACTTGTCTCACTGCGTACGTAGGAGCTAATTTAAACCAAAGATCCATTGGTGCGTCTTTTCTCTCCATGTCTTGATCAAAGTAGGAAAAACCTTAATTAGCTTTCTCTGTCTTTTGAAAGATTTCAGTAACCCCATGACATGAAGAATATCAGTCAGAGAGAAAGAAAACAGAACAAAAATAGAAAAAAAAAAACACCTTTACATGTAAGCTCATTCATTAATTGGCTTAGTGCAAAAGAATCAATACGCATCTCACAACTTTTTAGGGGTTGAACGTTGAAGTGTACTACCACTCTGTGAGCAAGTTTTCACTTGAATCTCTATCCAAACACCCACCTCAATTATTCAGTGATTAACACTTCAAAATCTCTCTCTCTCTCTCGCTATTCCAAGAATTATTTCCAATAATGCAATTATTACTGCTAACAAGTAATAAACATCCCTTTACATATACGACAAGTTTAAGGAAAGCACAACTCTTTTTAGAAAAGTTTGATGTGTTTACCTATTCACCTATTCACTGATGAGAGAGAGAGAGAGAGAGAGAGATGCCTTTGCCTTTAGACTTTAGAGCGCATAAAAAAAGGTAGCTAGGCAGTGGATTATCAGCAAGCATATCCCATATATGCCACCATTATACATCATTCTATCAACACCTTCCCAGATCCATTGAAGCTTAACTATCTATCCATCAATCACCCAAATTTGCTTATTTTGCTTTGGTTTACGATGTGGGTTTCCCTTCTCTTCCCCAACTCCTACGACTCCTCATTCTCCCTTCACCCTGATGATCCCCTCCATGGATGAAGCAGTAGTCCTCCCACCACCTCCCACCCAGAGCCCCACCGCCTGCATCTCAGCGGCTGTTGAATCCGATGAACCCACGTCGCCCCTGGATTTCAACCTTGTGGTCATCGTGGCCGCCATGCTCTGCGCACTGGTCTGTGCACTCGGCCTCAACACCATGCTCCAATGCGTAGTTCGGTGCACCCACCGTGCACTCACCGAGCCTCTTCACTGGGTTGCATCACGCCGCCTCAACTCTGGTCTCAAGAAGGAAGATATGGTGGCGCTCCCCACTTCTACCTACTATGCAACCTCCTCGCCGGCCGCCGGCTCATCACCTGCAGCAGCCTCCACATCCAGCTGCGCCATTTGCCTGGTGGACTTCCTGGACGGTGACAGGGTAAGACTCCTGCCTCTGTGTAACCATCGCTTCCACGTTGCCTGCATCGATACCTGGCTCCTGTCTCACTCCTCCTGCCCTACTTGTCGGCATCACCTCAAGTGCAACGATTCCACCACCACTGCGGCCCTGCAGATTGTCACATCTGCAGCCTAATGAACCTCTGTTGATATATTTACATATCATCTAATATAATAAATATATATTATTCAGCTCAAGAGACTTCCCTAAGGGTGAGAGTTCTCTAATAAATTAATTAATAATGGTAATTCAAGTTAGTTTCAGTAGTTGGGCTTCAATTCCTATATCTTTCTTTTAATTAGCTTACTTTTTTCATGTATATATGGTATGTAGCTAGCTCACAGCTGAAAGCATGCAAGCTAAGTGTATATATACGTAGCCATGACTGATTCAATGGTTATCTTGAGATGTTGTGAGACTCTTAGATGGAATTTGGCAACTTGGGTGTGACTGAGGAGATGGATATAGATTACCATGTGAAAGCCACAACCAGTAGCCCAGTAGGGAAAAGCACAGTTACTTGGGGTGGTCCTGATTCCATTAGGGTGCTCTCACGTGAAGTGTCGCTTTCTAATTGTTGGATTGGCATCAATTAAAGGGGAATAATGCCAAATGGCACTCAATTCCTATCCATGTTTGGTTTCTGTCAATGGGATTCCTGTTGCCAATAATTGGGTGTTGCATAAAACGACACCCCAGTAAGATAAAAACTGATGAAAACATGGATAGAAACCAAACATGGATAGAGGGTGATCGCCAGTGGAATCATTTTCTCTGGGGGCGGAGATAGAGCGTTTTCAAGGAAATCAGTTTTTTTTTTCATTTATTTATTTTTTACATGTTCTGACTTCTGATTATCAAAAAGAACAGTTTCCCCTTTATTCTTTTCAGTTGGACATCACATAAGAAAAGAGAATTGATGGAAAAGTTTCCCATCTCAAGAATTGAATTTGAAACGTCAAAAGCTAGTTTCCAACAAGATAACAAAAGATGATTACTAAAAAATATATATACATATATATATATACATGATTCAAATTGATTCAGTTGGTAACATAGTTTGATTGTGTTGGGGAGACTTCACTATGGGTCCATCAAAAATCCCACCTTCACTCTGGTTGAGGGTGTTATGCTCATATGGGTCTATCAAATCAAATTCCGATTGTAATTGGATATTGAATAGTATAATTTAATTGAACTTTATTGGATAATACTTAAATTTTATAGTGTCAGCTATTAACAAATTTGATTTTTTTTTGAACTGCATTAACAAATTTGGTTGAATGTAATGTTTTTATTAAATTCTCATAGGTTAAAGTTTCACAAATAATTTTCAATTATTCATTTTGTGGATCATGAAATACAATATCATTAATGCCATTTCTGATTCACTTTAATAATAATAAATAATAACATTTTGATCATTTTAGTTTAACTCATTTATACCATCCAATATCTAATTATTGCAATCCAAACTCAACTCGAATTCAATATAAATGCAATGAATAATATTAGATCCAAATTCTAACATAAATAAAACAAAATTGGATATATCTATTCAATCCATTTGCAACCCTAGGGTTATGGATTTGGGGGATGTGATACCCCATTGTGTGGCCCTAACCCCATAAAAAAGGGTTTAACTATGATACCAGAAAGATGTGATACCCAAAAATAAACTTGTGGCCAATCAACTGGTATCATAAACTGCTAATCAATTAAGTGGTATTTATCAAAATTCAAAGGTGGGAAGAGTGTAAATTTATACCATCTATAAAAGTGCAAATAGGTGTCCCTGGTTCTAGAATTTTCATTGGATAACAAATGCCCCCTCTCTAAAGTTTGAATTGGAAAACAAGCAAAGGCAAAAATGTTATTTGACATCTTTATTTAGTATTACTTATTAGATAAAATGACACAAAAGTACTTCTTTTGTTCAATAATAGGAAAACAAGCTATAGCAAAAATGTCATTTTACATTTTTCATTTAACGCTTATCTATTCCATTATTAAAAGTGTGAATAATAGTATGTAACTTTTGTTTGACTAAATTACCCCAATTTTTGAATTTGGTCCTTGTGTAATTTTAATGATGGAAATGTGATTTGAAAAACCGCTTTTCTCCTCTTTCAATTTCCTCTCATTAAGTTTCATATTTTAAGTATTAACTCTCATTTACATTCATTTAATCCTTTTCTTGACTAGAATACCCCTATTTTTGAATTTGTTCCATCTCTAATTGTAAGGACACAAAATGTAATTTGAATTACTACATTTCTCTTCATTCAACTCCCTCTCATTAAGTCTTATCTTAGGATATTACTCCCATTCATTTATTAAATTCTATATTTAAGATATTACTTTTACAAAATAAAAACAAATAAGTTCTATCAATTAGATCTACATCTAATATTTTTAATGATATAAAATACATGTTTTACCCAAAAATAGAATTATCTTTCCATTATGGTGGTGAGTAAGCAATTCAACCATCCGGGTCCAGTGGGTTAACTCATGATGTCATAATTAAATAAAAAACTTTTAAAATGTTGGAATGAAATATAAATTTAAAATCAACCTAAAAATAAAAATTATGACAGATCAACAATTCAACCTTTTGAGTCAAATATGTCAACCCTTGATATCATAATTAAATAAAAATTTGAAAAAAAAATATAAAAACACAAAAAATATTATCTAATAGTACAAATTTTGTAAATAACATTTAGCACCTATCTAATATTTTATATTAATCATATTAAAGAAAAATAAGTGTAATAAATAATAATTACTTTATTGATGTTGAAAATAAAATATAAAATTTAAAACCATGGTTTTCAAAACCGGACCGGACCGGACGGTCAGACCGGAAAAATCATGATTTCCCCAAAACCGTTGATTTTGGTTAGCAAACCGCTGAACCGGCCAGTTAACTGTTCGAACGATTTTGACTGTTTTTCAATTTTTTTTTAAATTTTTTTATTTTTTTGTTAGAACGGGCCGACCGTTCGGGTCGAACGGTAGGTCAACGGTAGTTCGACCCGATAACTAGGCCCCTGACTGGTTTGGTCGCCATATCAGTTTTAAAAACCATGTTTAAAACCAACCCAAAAATGAAGTTGTTTTCCTAGTTGTGGGTCAACAGTTCATCCTTTCGGATCATATGTGTCAACCATTGATTTCATAATTAAATAATAAAAATTAAAAAAATGATAAAAAAATATAAAAAATGGAAAAAGATAAAACTCTATAGAAAACATTTAAACATATATCTAATATTTTATATTATTCATATTAAAAATTAGATATGATGAACAAGAATTGTTGTTAACTTGTACAAAATTCAACACTAACTCAAAAGAGAAATTGTTTTCCTATTTGGTGGTAGACCAATTCAACATTTCAAGTCAAATGTGTCAAGTTGTTAAGTTATAATTAAATAATAAAATTTTAAAAAAGATACAAACACAAAAATATATAAATTATGTAGAAAACATTTGGACATCTTTCTATATTAATGAACCATAATAACTGTGACAAATAAGAATAATTTTTATAAACATAGAAATATAAAAAAATGTAGAAAATTTTGGAAACATATTATATACTATCATCATTATCACAAAATTTGTCACGGGCTTACATACTAGTAGAGTATAAATACAAATATGTAGAGTGTGGTTTGGTCTATACAATGCAAAGTTGGTTTAGTTTTGCATTGATAAATTTACTTTCTTGCCAAATGATTTTTAGTTGTAATGGGTGCAAACACAGATCTCAAATTTGAAATATGCCTTTTTAACATTGATTGACTTTGAGTACAAAGTTTACATCCTGGATGTAGATTTTGCTCTCATTTAAGATGCAAATGCTTTGAAATTTGTGAAAACTGCCACCTTTGATATATAAATGCATTCATACCAAACACCAGCAAAACTGAACCTGAGTGCATATATGCACTCAACAGCCATTTGCACTCTTCCCAAATGGAACGAAAAGTAGATTGAGAAACATTTCAGGTATCTATACTATACCCGTCAGAGTTGGAAAAGTTAAAAGTTTCTAGGAAAATAATTCAACAGGGAATGAGATTCATCTTTGTTTTTTGGGTGATTCTGATGACAGACCTCAGTGGAAACATTAGCCAGTTTACCCAAAATCACCCAAAGTTGGTGGGGATGTCGCTTTTTCTTCTGCTCTGCTTTTTCTTTGTCGAACTTGAGGTCATTAAGGAATCACTTGATGAAAATTGGGCATCTGGACTTGATTTGGTTGTAAACTTCAACCGAGGATTATATTGAAGAGCAGAGGAAAGTGTCGATAGGGACACGAACGAACTCCAAAATATTTGAATGATTTAACAGACGACGTAACAATGTGTGGAAGCAGTGAAGACTTTCACGCCAACCACACAATTACGAGCATGACTAATCATAACTTGGTCGAATTTCTGAAGAAAGTGATATCTCAGGTCAGGAGGTTCATGAATCAAGAGACGAGCCCTCAATTAAATGAAAGGACTGCATGTCAAACACGATTCTGCTGTTTTTGTATGGATGGTAATGAAATTCTTTTGGTAGGGCGTGGTTTGTTTCTAGTGCAAGTTCTGTTTATATTTGTTTCAGATTTTGTTTTATTTAAATCAGTGAAAATCTATGATGCAGAAAAGCTATGGTATGGTATGAAACAGTTTTGACCAATCAAAAGGCACCCATGAATTTTGATAAATAACACCATGTTCCTTACCACGTTTATGATTCTGGTTTATTGGTCAGTTGTTTTTTGGATATCATATCTTTTCCATATCATAGTTAAACCCATAAATAAAACCTAAGGGTTAAGGCTGTGTTTGGTTGCAGCGTAAATCTTATTTATGTTGATGCAAAATTATGATAGTGTAAATGATTTGGGTGCAAATTATGATTTATTTTTGTTTTAAATTTTACCTTCATTTGTTTGATAGCAGTACAAAATGAAGTAACCTAAGCCTTGAAGCGTAATTAAAGTAAAACCCAAAACAAAATTAAACCAGTATTTGCATTCTTTTAACCAACCCCATATAATTGACATATGGCTTAGATGATGATGGCATAAAAATTGAATTGAAAAGGAATGTTGTGAGAGAAAGGGTCCAAGAGTGACAGGTCAAGATCTAAGGTCAAAGGAAATGATAAGATATAATGTTAGAAATACAGAGTTTATACATGAAAGGGATTTATCTTAAACAACCTCAGGATTTGTTTGGTTACTTATTAGTGGGGTCAATTGCAAGGTGATGGTAGTAACTAGTAACAATGTAGTAGTTGCATTGCATAATGACAGGAATATTTCCATCATCTCTAATGATATGCCCACTACTTTCCATGATTAACGCCTTAATGGGTTTTGGATTCTCTATTTAGGTGGCAGGTTTGTTTATGAAATCATAGGTGTTGAGAAGATAAAAATTAAGATATTTGATGGAATAATTTACAATTAAAATGGTGAGATCTCTGTTCTGAAAATGCAGAGAAATATAATATCACTTAATTGTTTGAATTCCAAATGTTACAATAATGCTAGAATAAGTGGAGTAAATGAAATAACATGCGATTGTATAGTCTTTATGAAGGGAGAATAGTATAGAAGTATGTATTATTTAGTTCGGATCAGAAGGATTCCCAAGACTTCCATAGGTATATGGTTAGGTTAAGGCTTGGATGATGATGAGCTAACGAGTAATTAACCATTATCTCTTACTTCAGCATTAGCTTACAGTTAGTTACAAGGCAAAGCTTGTTTGCATCTCAGAATTGGACTAAAATGGGTCCACATTTCTGATATCGAACTAATGACTAATGTCAAGAAGGGTCGGCACAGAAGAAAATATACCCAGCAATGCTTGCAAAGTCTTGCATATTCCTCCACCTTTGTCTCAACTAGACTAGAATTTGATTTTGATCAATCAGGTTCCTCACCTCACTTTGTCACTTGTACACGTGAGCAATGCTTTCTGTAATGGAATAAAGCACCCTAGCCAACTACCATGTGCTCTATGTCCAGCGGTTCTATATCAACCTTGAACTATAATAGAGAGGAATACTCAGGATCCGTTTGGTTTGCAGGAATAGGGGTTTGAATTCGGAATCAGGATGGCCATTTAGCATATTCTTCGGCTTCTAGTGTTACAAAATTTCCCAGCCCTAATAATCTTGAGCCAATTTACAATCTTTGCCACCAAATAGATACTTGAAACTCAGTTGCCAAGTAAAGCTATGGCCACCAGATGCAAGATCCAGATTCCCAATGTCAACAAGTAGCATAATGCAAGACCCTGCGCTCAACTTCCTCTTCTTGTGGCTCTGCGGAACATGTCTTTAATGTTTTGGGAATTTGTTTCCATCTTCATCTTCTTTGCTTGTTTTGCATTGCTTGAAGTTTTCTTGTCACTCCCGCTTTTTACCTGACAGAAAATAAAAAACAAGTAAAAGGCAAGTTTCAACCAGGAATTAAAAATCAGTTACCCAGTCTTGGTCCCAGCTATCTGGGGTCTTGGGAGGGATGAAGAAGATTTGGTCCTAACCCTTGGCTTTTTTTCTTTTTTTGCACAAAGTGGATGCTCTTAGACTCAAATCCACCTTTTCATTCTTGTCAGCCCGAGGTTTTATAATTAACCAAGCAATGGCCTCTAAATGAGGGGAACTAATTACCAATCAAAAAACTGAACTAATTCACACAAATTTCAATCAAATTGTAGGCAAATGTTTTGATAGTTTCCTATCTATGATGTAGCTTGAGACATGGGTACATCAGTTCCTGCACATTCCAACAGGAATTGTACATGCAGGAGTTGCCAGCACAAAAATGATTTCAAGATATACAGAAAGAAAACATGCATGTCAATATGTCTGTATGTGGTTACACAGTCTAACAGGAATTGTACATGCAGGAGTTAACAGAAGAAAAATGATTTCAAGATATACAGAAAGAAAGCATGCATGTCAGTATGTCTGTATGTGGTTACACAGACTAGGGACATGAAGGTGGCCCTCTTAATCATCCATCTGGATCATTAAGTACAACCCAACTGGCCATAGACCATATAACATAGCGACCTGCTACTTAACTGTCATACAAATAAAAAGATGACTTTTTAGGTGACCAAACTTTAGTTCTTGATTGAGCAGTTAAAATTGCCAAATAGTGGTCAGTAATTGAACATACCAGTTCTAATGTTCAGGTGATGGAAAACAATTTCTCTCCAATCATGAATGACAGACGTAGCCAGTGAGCAGTGATCTATTGCAAGTTGAAGGATCTAGAAGAGATGGGGGCAGGCCAAAAAGGACATGGACTGAAGTAGTGAGAGATGATTTGAGGGTCAATATTTTAACAATGGAAATGGCACTGAACAGAATGGTATGGTGGAACAGGACTCATTAGCCAATTCCATTGGTTGGGAATTGGGAGTTGGGACAAGGCTCAGAGAGTCAAATTGTATAATGCAGTAATGATTTACAAATAGTATAATGATTTACAAATAGTATAATGATGCAACAAGATGAATGTAGTGAATTTAATGCACACAGCTATCACATACCTGCGAGGAAGAACCAGAAGTGTTCTGTGGTGTGGTTGGAAGGATTTCACATGTTGGTACTTTTCCAGACGCCTCTTGTAAATCCAATCTGCAAGATACTGAGAAATTTAGACCCAACTCAAACATCTAAATAACACTGTTCTAGACAGGTAACAGATAGTTGCTCTTTCTATAGCTTACTTTAGATGACCACACAAAAGCTTTAACCAGGGCTCCTTCAAGTACTCTCCTAACAATAAGACCACTTCTGTCACTGCACCAGTGATAAGAGAATGAATTAATAAGTGATAATACAATACAACAGCAAAAGGAGTCTCATTCTTGCAAGTTGAGCACCATTTTGTCCTCAGCTGCTGATAACATGAAATTCATATATGAAGCAATTATTGATATACACATGTGCCCTCTTGCTGAGAAATACCAAATTAAGCATATACTTCTGTTTCCAGACCCCCACCCCCCACCCCACTTTGAGATAGCAACAATTCATTGTGAACAAACAACAAACTGTCAAAGACGCACTTAAGGAATTAGGTGGTTCAACAGATGCTATTGAGTACTGAAATGGGAAGAGGGACTTCGATACTTGTCACACAGCTCAGTGGCAAAAGCTATGCCTCAGACTCAGGCCCAAGAATTTCGACAAGGAAAGACAACAATGGCCATCAGAGCAAGGAGGTCTCGGCATAAATGAACATAAAAAATCAGATGTCCAATGCCAACCCCATTAGTCTATAAGTAGCAAAGCAACACCTTGAAAATAAGGAATGGATACACAATCCAAGTATCCAACAGATCCAACAATGATAATCATCTATGCAACAAAATGATCGAGATGTAAATGGATCTAAGTTCTATCATTGAGAATTTTCTTACTGAACTCGTACATGTATCCTTCTCATCCAAAGCAGCATAGTTTTTGTCAAGTGTGGGCAACGTCAATTTTAGTTGGTGCACCTGTAGCCAGGAAAGAGAACAAGACAAATGGCAATAGTTGAAGTCAACAAATTTTTAGATAAAGAAACCAAAATGAAAAAGGTGAAATTTTATTTATTTAATATTGCCTTCTGCTTTCTAGCTAAAACTGTGTTTCTTATCATCTTTTTCTTGGAATTTGAATTTTAGCTTCCAAGAAGATACATAATTTACCATTTTCTATTGAATTTCATATTTTCTTTTCGTTTACCCAAATTGCTCGTTTCATCAGTAAAAGATACAAAATAAGAGTAAAAAAATCGGGGTGACAAGAATGATAGTTCCTTTTCCTTAACATGTCAGTTTCCCAATTCAAGATGGGTGGTTCCTTTACTAAACATTATTGGATGGAAAATGAAGTGATGGAAATTAATCTGTCATGAGTGGATCCCTATAAGAAGCAAATACAAAATGATGTGAGACCACACAGTAATTAAGAAACAATAAAGATTGAAAGGCTTACATGAATATAAATTTCCCAAAACCAAAACCCAACTGATTTTTGCTGATTATGACCAAATGATTGGAAGGAGCAAATTAAACAATAAAAAAAAGTGGAGAATAGACTCTTGAGAACAGATGATCAGGACCAACCAAGTAGAGCTCCTAATTGGGACCTTGAGTATGAGTACAAAACCTACATATCATTGTCATTGCCTACAATCTCGTACTTTTTTATGGCATTTGTATGCTGTTGAGTGGTCAATAAGTTCCAATTTCTTAGTAGTTCACTCATTAAATTAAATAGATCTTGTTGAGCAGGAGAAGAAGAAAGGAGGAAGGAAGAAGAAGAGGCAACTGAGTTGAGGCCTCAAAAGTTCTGCTTCAGTCGAGTGAAGCATTGTATTTATACTATACAGGCCGTACAACACAATAGGACTGTAAAATTACAAAAATACCCCTGCGGGTACTAAACCTGTGTACAGTACATATAATACGCCTGTCAACAGATCTCAACAACATAAAAGAACAGATTCCCTTTAGGTAATATTAATAATGATAAATGCCAAAAACAGGCAGGAGGCAGACCTTGTGGCATAACCAAGCTAAAACTTTGGAATCATCCAGCCTATAGAATTTTGTGGATCCAATTTCTGCAGAAGTAAAATGGTAGAAATTAGCTATTTAGTTCAAGTCATCCATATGAGCTACAGGGAAATTTTTTCAAATATAAACAAATAACAAATAGGATTATGATCTCGGTTTCTTACTTTGTTCTATAGCATTATTTTACTTTCTCAAAATCAACTGTGATTATCAACTATTTATCAAACCTTTTGCTTCCCTGATGTTGACCAGACTTTTTTAAAGATACAAAATATTAAAAGAAAAAAGAAAAAAGAATACAAGAAAGGTGACAAGTAGTCACCCGAAAGAAGAACATGACAAATGCACCTGAGAAACCAAATCCAACCAACATAACCAAGATCTGCAACACCTACCCCACACCTTAAGCTGAAGAAACAATGAGAAAGCCTTAGACTTCAAATTCGACCCTCCTAAAGCACCAACAGACAACCTACTTCCCAAACAAAAACACCCACCCAAACCAAGAAAAAAAAACAAAAAACAAAACCCTCCAAAACTGAATGACATCTAGAACTTTCAACCACATCCAACCCCCAAATCCAACTTGGACTTCATTACTTGGCTCTTAAAATAATGGCTGCTACAAACCAACTCCCTCTCTTCTTGAAATTTTTTATTTTCTTCACCTTTTTGACCAGCACCACACTAAATACAATTCCTCTCAATCTTGAAAAAGCCTTCAAATCCAGGAAATTTTGCCAATACCTTAACCTTCTAAATCTATTCACCACATTAGCGTTCTTCTTAAGGTTTTTAGCTTCTTTAGTACTATCATTAATTCTCTCCAATTCCAACACAGCATTCTTTTCAAAGATCTTGAGTTCCCACTCCCTCACCTCCTTCCCCGTCAGCCACCCCATCAAGCCCCGTAATCCCAAATTTAACTCGAACCTCCTCTACCTCAACATTGAAACCCTCCCCATCATGGATCAACTCCTTTTTCTGCTCTCTCTCTCCCTTTCCTCCAACTCTATAAATGTCTTCCCTGCAAAATCCGCCCCCCCCCACCAAAAAAAAAGAATAAACCAAGTGTTTTGCTCACTGCTGGAACCCAAACACTCCCTCCGAACCCAACTATGGGAGTGGAGAAGGCCACCACCAATCAGCATTTCACTAGAAGACAGAAAAGGTACTGTGTAACACGCGGCAGAGCCCCCAGAGTTAGTTACACTGCCACCAGAAGATATTCTCTCCATGATTGCACACACGTAGGCCAACTATATAAGGCCCTGATCATGTAATAAGCAGTGTGAATGAATATCTCTTTTATCTCTCTCTCTCTCCGAGTCATTTTCTTCCTACCCTTCCCTCTCTTCTCTCCTTCATCTTCTGTTTCAGGAGGTTAAGCCACCCTCGAAGGGGCTTCCGAGGTGAGCGGTAACTCATCAATTGGTATCAAAGCCAGGTTATTCAGATCATAGGCTTCACGATGCCACAGACACGTTCCTCTACCATGGATGATAGGGTCAACCAGCTTGAGGTTGGATTCCACCAGGTGTTGAACGAACTCAGGGAACTCAAAGTGGTCGTCTCAAGCTTCGCCTCTCAGCAGCAATCCGGCGAGACCAATCACCCAGTAGGAGTGGAAGCCTCTGCTTCCAGCAGCCAAAGAACAGGGTATTACCCCACCGAAAAAGTCACTAAGATCAACTTTCCCAACTATTCCGGTGGAGATCCCATTCCTTGGATCTTCAGAGAAGAAAGATTTTTCGAATACCACGAAACGCCCGCACACCAGCGTGTCTCCATCACTTCCATTCATCTAGAAGGAGACGCGATTCTATGGCTCCAGTGGTATCGCCAAAATCATCCCCAGGTAACTTGGGCGGAGTTCACTGAAGCTCTGTGCATCCATTTTGGGCCGACGGCGTTCGTGGACTACGACGAGCTTATCACTCGGTTGAAGTAGACTGGAACGGTAGCAGAGTACCAGCTCGAGTTCGAGCGAATGGCGACCAAGGTACACAGCTGGCCAGAGAAAGCCTTAGTAGGATGTTTTGTGGGAGGCCTCAGAGAGGATATCCGTCTGGAGGTGAGGGCTCTCCGTCCGGCGACTGTCATGGCTGCGATGGGATTGGCTCGCCTGCAAGAACAAAAAATCGACAACCTACGCAGAGCCAGCAAACCGACCTACCCGAATGTGAGGACTCCTCCACGGGTCGATCAACAGCCCATGAAACAGGTTGGGGATCATCAGAAGCCCATCTTGCCNACAACCTACGCAGAGCCAGCAAACCGACCTACCCGAATGTGAGGACTCCTCAACGGGTCGATCAGCAGCCCATGAAACAGGTTGGGGATCATCAGAAGCCCATCTTGCCCCGGCCCACTATGCCCTTCAAACGTCTCTCATGGGCTGAGATGCAGGCCCGGCACGAGAAAGGCCTTTGTTATAACTGTGATGACAAGTTTGGACCCGGCCATAAATGTCGGGTCCAGCAGGTGTTTCTCCTACAGACAGAGGAAGAGCCAGAAGAGACAGAACCAGAGCACTTAAATGACTGTGAATTGATTCCAGACGGACCAAAACCTGACGGGGCCGAGATCTCCTTACACACCCTTATGGGCCTCAACTCTCTTCAGTCCATGCGAGTAGAAGGAAGATTGGTTGGCCGGACCGTGATGATTTTGATTGACAATGGCTCTACCCTGAATTTCATCACTTGTCGTTTGGCAAGGCAACTAGGTATGACTATACAACCCACTCCTCTCTTTTCGATCCATGTGGCTAATGGGAGTCAGATGTCATGTAATGGTGTATGTAAGAAGGAAAAATCCTCATACAGGGCCATAATTTTTGGTGGATCTCCACCCATTGGATTTCTCGGGGGCTGATATTATTTTGGGGATTCATTGGTTGCGTGGCTTGGGCCCTGCTCAATGCGATTGGGCCAAAATGACTATGGATTTTCACCAGGATGGCCAGACTTGTCATTTACAAGGGGTGCGGATGGGCCTCCAAGGATGTTGGACAACCCTTATTTATGCACTTAGGCATCCGGCCCACAGTCCCAATTCTGTACAACCAGGGTTGTGTCCACCCCACAAGAGCCCAACACGAGGCCTTACGATTGATACTCGATCAGTTTGGCAACGTATTCAAGGAGCCAAACCAATTACCTCCACCCTGGGCTCATGATCATCAGATACCTCTCTTACTAGGTTCTAAACCGGCCAATGTGAGGCCATATAGATACCCTTACTTCCAGAAGATGGAAATTAGAAGGCAGTGAGAGAACTATTGGAAAAAGGGCATATACAGACCAGCACCAGCCCTTTTTCATCCCCTGTACTCCTAGTGAAGAAGAAGGATGGTAGTTGGCGCTTTTGCGTAGATTACCGGGCCTTGAATGAAATTACAGTGAAGGACAAGTTTCCTATACCCCTCATTGATGAAATGCTGGACGAGTTAGGAGAGGCACGAGTATTCTCCAAATTAGACCTGCGGTTCGGGTATCATCAGATTCGGGTCCACCAGGTTGACATCCACAAGACGGCCTTTAGGACCCATGATGGCCATTATGAGTTTTTGGTTATGCCTTTTGGACTCACCAACGCCCC